TTTTTCACCATTTGTTTTGAGTTTCATAACATTTATGGTGTTTGAAGAGATTTTTTTTTTTTTTTTTTTTTTTTTTTTTTTTTTTTTTTTTTTTTTTTGCGCGCACACACATATTTTGCTTTGTTTGAGACTGGGTCTCTACAGTTATGGCTGGCCTGGATGCTAAGAGATTTCTCCTGCCTCTGCATCCTGACTGCTATTTCAGGTGTTACACTATAGCCTTCAGTATCTCTCAGCAATGCCTTTCTTTTATTCAAGGCTTAGAATGATGCCTCTTGTTGAGAAGGAAATCCAATTGGTTGAACTTCTGATCCTCTGTCTTTTACCTCTCAAGTACTAGGATGACTAGTACCAGCACCAGGAAGGCTTTGTGGTACTGGAGATGGAACCCAGGGCAGGCTGTCTACCAACTGAGCTACACAGTGAACCTCCACTCTTTGGTTTTGTGACACAAGTTCTCACTGCCCTGGCTGGCCTGGCAGTCACCTGCCTCTTGCCTCCCGAGTGCTGGGGTTAAAGCGCACTGCCAAGCACACCAGTGCCCACCTGACTTTCTCTTCTAAAGTTATATGCCTGGGTGCCTGGGTGCCTGCCTGCAGAAGCCAGAAAGGGCACAGGATCCCCTAGAACTGGAATTATAGACGGTTACAGGAGGCCATGTGGATGAAGGGAATTGAGCCCTGGGTCTCTGGAAGAACAGCAGTGCTCTTAACTGCTGAGCCATTTCCCAGCTTTCCCCAAGCCCCACTTTTTATATTCACTCTTATTTATTTATACATATGAGCACTCTATTTACATGTGTGCCTGCATGACAGAAAAGCCCATCAGATCCCATTACAGATGGATGTGAACCACCATGTGGTTGCTGGGAATTGAACTCAGGCCCTCTGGGAAAGCCATCAGGGCTCTTACCCACTGAGCCATCTCTCCAGCCCCACTGGCTCTTATTCCTGTAGAAATAATCTGTGTATGGCAAGAGGCTACATGAAACATCTTTTTAAAATTGTCCATTCTCCTAGCAGAACTTAAATAACCCTGCACTTTTCTGCTGATGTTTAGTGTCAGTATTATTCTATGCTTCACACACACACACACACACACACACACACACACACACACTTCACTTATTCTCCCTATTTTCTGTAATCGGTTTTCTTTTCCTATACTGGACTATAATAATAAAAATTATAACACTGCATATTTTAGAACTTTTTTATTTTTTAAAAACACGCATAAATTCAAGCAGTTGCAAAAGCAGCAGGGAGTGGCCCCTGCCCCCTTCACCCAGTGTCTCCAGTGGGGGCATCTTACTTTAGTACAGTACCAACGCCAGGAAGCTGACACTGGCCCAGCGAGTGCAGACGTGCCCACCTACGCACACAGCTGCTCCACCTGAACAGGGCACAGGGCTCTTCCCCAACAGAGACCCCGTCTTGGTGCCCCTCTGGGTCACACTTGTCCTCCTTGTTCATTTACCCCGAACACCTGGCAACCAAGTTTGCCCTCCGGCTCTACGGTTTTGTCATTTGGAGACTGTCCCTAAGAAGGTCACAGAAGTGTGAGACTTTAGGGGTTGCGGTTTTTACTCAGCAGGTTTTAGTTCTGGTTTTGAGTGGTGCTGAAGATGGAACCCAGGGCCTTCAACATGCTTACTGCTCTGTCACCGAGTGATGCTCTAGTCTAGGGTAAATATTTTATTATACTACCTAAACTGACTCTGTTAAGACGACCCAGCTCAGGCCCAAACACTGCCTTTGGTTCACTTGTAACAAGCCCCTCCTTTCTAATTTTCTGAATGGATGCAGTTCCCATGGAGGCCAGAAGAGGGTGTCTGGTCTCGTGGACCTAAAATTAAGGGTGGTTATGAGCCAGCCAGTGTGGGCGCCCAGAACTGAACTCAGGACCTCTGGAAGAGCAAATACAAGCTCTTAACCACCGAGCCATCTCTCCAGCTCCTTCTATGTCTTTTATGTGCTGAAGAAATTGGGTCCTTTGAGGGTATACAACTTTCAACATTGTAAAATAGGCTGGTTGTAAATCGTGGTGTGCTAATCTCTTAGTGTATATTTGTGGAATTCTCAATGTAAAAATATCTTAAACATACAGATAAGTATGAATAGCACAACACACCCTATCTACAAGCTGCCACGGCCTTTTCTTTCTTTTTTTTTTTTTTAAAGATTTATTTATTATTTATACAACATTCTGCCTGCACACCAGATCTTACTATAGATGGTTATGAGCCACCATGTGGTTGCTGGGAATTGAACTCAGGACCTTTGGAAGAACAGCAAGTGTTCTTAACCTCTGAGCCATCACTCTAGCCCCATGGCCTTTTTTTTAATAATGGGGTTTTAGTATGGCACTGAGGCTGCTTGGAATGCATGAGCCTCCTGCCTTGGCCTTCCGAGTTCTGGGATCCCAGGAATGGGCTGTAACTGGTAGCCAAGCTTCCTCTTTACTCCAGGCTTACCTCGTGGCCTGACCACTGCTGCTCTGTAACAACTAACTCCAAGGCCCAACAGCTCAAAGCAGCTATGTCTCCACTGTTACGGGTCAGGACAGGACAGGCTTGCCTAGACAGTTCCCACTTGAGGCCTCGTGGTGGGTGCAGTTGGATGATTTCTGGGCTGTGTCCTCTGAAGACTTATCTGGGATGTGAGTGCTGCTGGCAGCAACAGGCTGTAAAGCCTCAAAAGCCCGCCCCTACAATCACCTAATGTTCACTTAAGGGTCTAGCCCAGGAGGCCCAACCAGGGTACATCACAGAGCCCCATGGCCTCATAGCTGGGCAATCATGGGTCATTCTTCTTTGTCTTGTGTTTGCCAGCATGTATGTATGTATGTATGCATGTATGAGCACCATGCATGTCTGGTGGCCACAGAGGTCAGAAGGAATAGCTGTGAACCACCAAATGGGTGCTGGGAACTGAACCCGTCCTCTGCAAGAGCAGCAACCATTCTTAACTGCTGAGCCAGCTCTCAAGCCCCAATTTTATTTTGAGACAGGGTATCAGGTATCCCAGGCTAGACCTGAACACTTCATGTAATGACAGCTTCCCTTGAGCTCAGGTTCTTCCTGCCTCAAGTGTGTAGACCACAGGCACGTGCCACCACACCTGCTCTCCTGCGGCGCTGCTGAAGCCACTCTCTGTGCTTCCTGCACAGTAGACATTCCACTAACTGAACTGCATCCTTAGCCCTCCCCAGGGCTATGTTGCCCACGCTGGGCTTACACAAGCCTCCTGCCTCAGTCTCCTGAGTAGCAGGCACTATGACTACACGCCCAACCTGTTCACCGTTTTACAATCATTTCTAAATGGACAGGACAGCTCATGTACTGCAATCTGAAGCGACAGGATTGTGGTGAGTCTGAGATTTACACCTGACTTCATGTGCTGAGGGTCCCTCCAGCGTCGCCCGTGTCAGCGGCCTGCTCCTTGTGACTGCTGAGCTTGCTCCGTCATCTTTTCTTGACACCATCCTCACTTGGTTTCTCTTCATGTCCACCTGCTTTTCCTCCAGAAGTGATGCTGTGTGACAGGTGCCACAGGTGGCTTTCAATGGGTAGTTCCTTGCTGGCAAAGGTCTTGTCTACTGGTACCTTTAAGGCTCCTCTGTCACTTCATAAATCAGTAGAGCTGAACCCATCTTAGAGAGGCTGGGTAGGTGAAGCCGACCTCAGAAAGATCTCCTTGCCAATAGAAAGCAAGGCCCCAAATCTCTCACGAGTCAGAGTCAGTGTGGTCATGTGTGCCTGATGCCCACAGCCTTCCAAATACCTTGGCACCGTGAAGGAAGACATTCCAGACACTGAAGGTGGCACAACAGAACAGGAAGAGTCCTTGATGCCAATGCCATGCTGTTGAGAAAACATGGTGGATGCTATCTCTGAACGTTTTTTGAGAGACATCAAACCATTTGGTGATAAAATCTTGTTTAGCTGGCTTTTCTGTGATCAGCTAAAAGCACTTAGGGACCAGTATCATGTTAACAAACCTCCCTAGGCCTGCAGCCTTTGCTGTGGCCTTCTGTCCTCAAGTGGGCGGGTCCTAAGTTCCAAGGCCAGGCCTCTGTCCCAGTCCCAGCACTGGATTTTAAATTGCCTATTCTGCAGCACTGTACCAGGCCAGCCCTTCTCACCTGAGAAGAGGGTCTACGCTCTCTACCTCCAGTCTTTCTGAGACGTCTACTGCCACTGCTTCCCCAGTTCCTGCCAGATTACAGCAGTGAGCTTGGGGTAGGCCCCCTCCTACCCCATGGCTCTGTTTTCATACTGGCCTCCATTCTGGAAGCAAAAACCAGCTTTCTTGTTTTAAATACTTAACAGTCCTATTTCCAACACTCGGGGAGATATAATGATGGAAGACTCCGTATTTAGGCTTAGTCCTGCATTTGTGGTCCCATCTCCACCAATTCCACACCACAGGTGTGGTCAAACTGAGCTGCTATAACATGAATAAATATGACAAACTGTTTGTCTCAAGGAAAAGTGAAATTGGTAGCACAGTCACTTTCTGGTGTCTTCCAAGTTCTTTTGCGACTTTGTATGAAAAGAAACACTTTTGCCCATTCACAATCCTTTCTTCTTCAGAAGCCCTCCCACCTTTGTGCCCAGGCTGAAGGACCCCACGCTCTCCTCAGGAGTCACACTCCAGCCTGGACCAAATCACTCAAGGTTCTGCTTCAAGCTGTAACATGCTAAAGAAATCATAGCGGAACCAGAAGTCACCCAACCCTCCTTGCGGACACTGTATGGATCACTCAAGAAGTTTCTTCTTAATTTTTTTTCCTTCTGAAACAGGGTCTCCATATATATAAAAGACGCCCTTGAAATTCCTTCCATAGCCTAGACCGGACTAAACTAACAAGTTTGCCTGCGCTCTTTTTGACCTTACTGCACCACGAATCCTGCATAATTACCTCCAGTATCGTTAAGAGTCTCAGAAAGGGGCCCCGTCCCAGATGCCTTGACTAGCGGGTCTCCTCGGGTCTCCTACCTTCAGAGGAAGAGGAAGAAGGCTTTGAGTACTTGGCTGCAACAAAGTGCGAACTGTCGGGAAGCTGACTCAAGAAATCCTTGTCAGGCTGCTTCGCCTCCTTCTCCACCGGCTTCTCCTTAGCCTTTGCAACTACAAAGCTGGAGCTCTTCTTTTGCTCCTCAACTGAAACACACGGATAATCAGTTAGACCTACAGCCCGAGGACGCCTGCGCGGAGGGCGGGCCTCGCCGCCAGGCGGCGCCCTTTACCTTTCTTCTCTCTGGGTTTGCTTTTCGACTGGCCCATAGGTGACCCTGCCACCCCTGTCGGGCGGCCTTAGGCCCCCGTAACCCGACCAACTCACAAAACTCACGCTCCGCTTCGGGAGCTCATTACCATGGCAACCGCGTGCGGCGAGAGTCCTACCTAAGCCCCACCCAAGACCCGGCCCCGTCTTCTCGCGAGAGTAGGCCGGGCGACCGGAAACAGCAGCGACCCCGGAAGTCCTCACGGGTACTGCCGGTCCGAACGTTCTCATCCCCTGCGCCGCCCCGAGGGGTGTGCTGCCCGGTTGGCCATGGACGGTAAGGGGCTGTCATCCACTTCGGGTTCGGAGCGGGACTCTGGAGACACCTGGCCTCAGACCAGTAACCCACCCGGATCCGCCCTGGGGCTCTAGCCCCAGACCCTGTCCCCGGGCCCGGAACCCTACATCAGGACCGGGACCCGCCCCTAGCTCGAGACCCCGTCGAGAATCTGCCCTTGGGTCTGCACCCCACATACTGACCAGGACCGGTTTACATCCTAACTGAAACTCTCTCCTGGGCCTCGATCCCACAACCCAACAGGATCTAGCTTTTCGCTTCTTGACTCCAAACCCCTGTCACTACCCACCCCTGGATCTTGTCCTTAATCAGAACTCCCCAGGGACCCCTAGCCCGGGATCCAAATCCTGAATTTTGTCCGAATGACCCCAGATCCGAATTCTCCCTGTTTGTTTTGTTTCTCCTTTGGGGACCCTGGGAAGTGGTCAGAAGGCACTAGAAAAGATTTCGTATTTTGACGCCTGAATAGTACCCAGAGAAGTAGGAATGATTCAAATACAAAGGATTTCAAATACCAAGCAGTAGCGTATGGGTTCCCTGCTAGTAGCTCCTTGAGGTAAGAGCTACATGTCCTGTTCTGCCATTGTCCTTAGGTTAACAGCTTGGGAGGGAACCGCCCCTAGTGATCTGACTCACTTCCACCTGTCAGTGTTCTGAGCTTTAGGCTCCCAAAGAACTCATGCAGGCTTTACCGGCTGGTGTGAGAGTTTTTGTTTGCATGAGACAGTCTCCCTACGTAGCCTTGGCTTGCTTGGAACTTAATTTGTACACCAAGCTGGCCTTGAACTCAGAGATTTGCCTGCCTCTGCCTCTCCACTTCTGGGATTAAAGGTGTGTACCGCCAAGTACAGCTGTAATGGAGTTTTTAAAAGCTGTTCTCTGAAATGTAGAAAGCTATGTAACTGTCATGGAGGAAACACACACGAATTCTATACTGTATCCCTGTGTCCCAACAATAAAGGATTTTCTTACATCACAGTTCGCTCTGCTCCTGAGAGGGAACTTTTCTTAGGCTCACCCCAGCTCCTTTTTTTTTCAGAGTCCAGTCCCCTGAGAGTCTAGATGAAAATACAGACTGAGATGGAGACTTGGCCAGTGTCTTAACTCTAGTGAGATGCCTGGGTGATACTGTTCCTCCTGTCACTGTGTCTTTTTTTTTTCCCTAAGAGTCATGGTCAGGTGTGGTGCATCTGGCTGTGACTTGGGCCTGCACTGAGGGTGGTGGCTGCACAGAGTTCGTTGTACCCTGACAGGTCTCTGCTGGGCCTTATTTTACATCTGTAGACCCTCAGTGTCCTCATTCTGAACTAGTAGGGTAGGCCTTTTCAGGAATCAAGTCTCACAGCCCTCTGTAGATTTAGAAATGGAACCAGTTACCTGGTATGGTGGCTCCAGCATTAATGCCAGCTCACAAGCTGTAGAGACAGAAGACTCAGGAGGTCTAAGTACTGCCATCCTTGGCTACCTAGTGAGCCTGAGGCAAGATCCTGTCTCAACACATCAAAAATAAATAAACAAGAAATTGAGTTTATCTGTTTGAAATTTGTGAGTGAATAGCAGGTTTGGTTAGCAATTAGGTTTTTAAAACACATTTGAGTTCTTTCCTTGGCTTTTATACAGGTAGGGACGTGCTCTGGGCCTCTGCTGTGGCTTAGAAATGGCATCTGTCATGGAGTAACTTATTCGATTACCTAGGCCTTATCACCATTACCAGTTTTGTCTATTTGCTTTTGGGAAGATAAAGGAAAGATCATGCAATACCAACCGTTAAGCACTAAAGATTAAGTTTGGTACTAAAGTCAAAGAATGCCAGGTCAATGCAGTGTCTTTCGTAAAGCTGAGTGAATTGTAAGCCACCATCTCCGTTCTGATCGTGGCCAAGAGCTACATGCATTATCCTAGCTGTCCTTAAAGTGAGCCTTTGAGAGTGGCTGGTGCCATTGCTGTGTCCCTGACAGACAGGTTGGTGAGGGTCTTTGCTGGCTTGGAGCCCCATGTCTAACATGGCTCTATCTTCTGACTGCACGGTTGACCTGCCTGTCAGGCGTGAGGCAGCTTCTAGCAGCTGCAGGGACCTCCCTGAGTTCACCTGCTAAGCTGTGTCCTCTGTCTTTGCAGATACCCTGTTCCAGTTGAAGGTTTGTACCAAGCCGCCCTTCCCCAGTCCTGTCCTGGCAACCAGCAAATAACGACAAGAATTACAGTGGCATCGGCACTTGGAACTGAGACACCCAGAGTCGTGGGGAAATGATTGTAGTTAAATGACAGCCATACAGGGCTCACACTGCTGACCAGACTCAGGACCACTCTTTGTGTTTGGCTAAGGAGAAGTGTATCCCTCAGACTTATCTTTAAGAAACACAGCTGGGGCAACATACACTTGCTTTGGTGTTTTACTAAGCATTTCAAACCACAGACTGGAATTTAAAAATGCTTGAATGAGAATTTTATGGGCAACTAAAGTGCCTCCTGTGGGAGAGGGGTCTGTACCTGCCTCATAATCTATGGCATGTTTCCACTGTTTTTCTCTCAGTGCCTCACAAATGACAGTCAGGGTTAACTTTATCTTGTTTCTCTCTCCCTGGCTCCGGGTCTGGGCAGGAGTGAGGTAATAACACCTGAACATGGCTCTGGTATGGTTTGTGTCACACAGGTTGTCAGGTGGTGGCATGTGCCCTACAGGAGGGTAGTGTGTGAGCCTCGTCGTTTGCTAGTGGCCAGGGCCTGGTCTCCAGCCCTGAATTCTGTTGCCAGAGGGGTCACAGGTATGCTGGCATCATTTCCTCTTGTTGGCAAAGAGGTGAGGAAGCTATATGTGCAGAGAGCACTTTTAGTTCATGTCATTGCTTGAGTACCCTGAAAGAGGTTCTTGTGTGTTTTCCGTGAGTTGAAAGTCCTTGGGTTGGTGAGAGTTACCTTGTTGGCCTTCCACTCTGGGGGAGGATTTGGGTTAAAGTGTAGAGATGATGACGTTTTAGGAAACCTTGCAGCCCCTCCCTTTCACATGGGTCCTCAGAACCAGGTGGGGCTTCGGGGCACTCGTGTCTGGAGCTGCTGCAGGTTCTCACAGCCTCGCAGTGGCCATCAGGACTTACATTTTGAGGCTTTGTGGCTTAGCACAGGGTTGGACCAAGGTCAGGAGGAGGCAGGAGGTGCAGGGTAGAGGGAGGGCTCCACCTGTGCATCTCGGCATGCTGTGGTTTCTGCTCAGTTTACAGCGAAGCAGCTGGAGAAGCTGGCCAAGAAGGCAGAGAAGGACTCCAAGGCTGAGCAGGCCAAAGTGAAAAAGGTACGGAAGTTCTCTGCTCTGGGCTCCTTTTTTCTCCACTGCCTTTGTATTTCATTTCATTTTATTTTTGAGATTGAGTACTGTAGTTCAGGTGGACTCAGAACTCACTGTTTAGCCCAGGCTAACTTCATGCCATTGGCAGGGTTGCAGGTGAGAGCTAGTGAGCTAGCGCGCGCGCACACACACACACACACACACACACACACACCTACCCATGTTACTTTAGTGTCTTCTTTGTTCAGACTTGTGATTCAGTCCTCACTGCTTTCGGAGGATTGAGATGCTTGCTTTCATACTTGAGACAAGCAGGCGTGATGGGGGTAATAGCCCCTCCCCTCCCTGCCCACAGCGATGTCAGAGCAGAACTCGTGCGTGGCCTTCACTCTTCCTTCTTCCTCCCTTCCAACATCAAGATGTGGCCTTCCAGCTGTCCCTGCTCCAGTGTCATTTTCTACTGGCTTCCTTTTCTGGGGGATGAGGGAGTTATAGGGTTTCTCTGTGTAGCCTTGGTCACTTTGTAGAAATTCACAGCGATCCACCTGCCTCTGCCTCCTGAGTCCTGGGATTGATTACAGGTATGTGCCATGTCTCCCAGTTGCTTCTACTGGCTTTCTTTCCTTAGGGCTGCTGCCGGGGGTGTCAGGATCAGGGGAGAGGCGTTGATATTGGGGTCGGGCAGAGGTGGAAGCTCACTGAGGTTTTTGCAAGGAGGTCCTAAAGATAGAGGAGAAGGCAAAGTAGGGTGACTGGTCCCAGAGCATCCAGATGTGAACAGCACTTTAGAGCAGCTCTAAGGCCATGACACCCTGCTTGGACCTCCCATTCCTTTGGCCTTTGTCACTGTTCTCCTGTGCAGATGTAGCCTGGAGGAACAGCAGTGGTAGAACTGGACCCCCAAGGGCTGGTCTGTGCCATCCGTCTGTCTGGATACCCATACTCCAGATGGTGCCATTGCAATTTTACAAGGCTAACACATTTCTGAGGATTACACCTAGGGAAAACTGAAAGCCTCCTGCCATCTCCAAGGTAAACCATACCCTGGAGAGGCATTCAGGCTGTTGACAAGTATTCCTCCATGAATATATCTCTGTGAATCTCAGGCCCTTCAGCAGAAAAATGTGGAGTGTGCCCGCGTGTATGCTGAAAATGCCATCCGCAAGAAGAATGAAGGCGTGAACTGGCTCCGCATGGCGTCCCGTGTGGATGCAGTAGCCTCCAAGGTGCAGACAGCTGTGACCATGAAGGGGGTAAGTGCTAGACCACAAAGCTGTGTGGCCACGTATTGTAGAGTTTAGTGGCCAGAATTAGAGCAGCCTCAAGTAGAGGGAAGCTGCACCTCTAGGTACTAGACACAGGAAGGCCTCAGGAAAGCCTGGATCCCATAGCTTCATCCCACATCCTGGCAGTTAGATGGGCCTGTTAGTTCCTCCTAGTTCAAAGTGGGGAGACCCATATAATTCCACTGCATCACCAGCTGCATTCAAGTGACTGTGCTGAGGCCCGGGGGCCCATCCGAGAGTCCTGATGACCTGTCCCTGGCTTGCAGCCCTTGACTACCTTTAACCTTGTTTCTATCTGTAATCCTACTACAGGTGACCAAGAATATGGCACAGGTGACCAAAGCTCTGGACAAGGCCCTGAGTGCCATGGACCTTCAGAAGGTGTCTGCAGTGATGGACAGGTTTGAGCAGCAGGTGCAGAACCTGGACGTGCACACGTCGGTAGGTGGTCATTGTGGAAGGCCAGATGGAGGGCTGGGCTGAGCTGGACACAGGAAGCCCTGGGGGACAGGAGGGACAGTACACCAGCCCTTTCTGGGGAGGCTCATGTGATAGACAACCACATAGAAGTTCAGAAAGGCCCCTGAGGTGGGGCTGGCTAGATATGGGACGGGAATGGCCCGGGAGCCAGGAAAAGCTTCCTGGAGAGAAGCCTGTAAAAAGAGCGTGGTATCGGGGGAGAGTGAGCAAGAGCCTCAGTGGGGTGAGGACATGGTTCATTGGTAATGTGCTTCTCGTACAAGCTTAAAGGCACAAGTGTGGGTTCTTGGCACCCACATAAAAGCTGGGTGCATGGCCACTTAGTGCTAGGGGCCCAAAACAGGTGAACACAGGGTTTTGCTGGCCAGCCAGCCTGGCTGGAATGGGGAGCACTGGGTTTAGTGAGAAACCACCTTGTAGAAAGCAGAATTGGGAAAACACTATGCTAGCCGCTGGCCTTCACATGAGTGCAGGTGGACCCACCCACCACAAACAGAACAGTTGCAGTGTGCTTCGTGGTGCCACGGGGTTCTCCGTGGCCACTCTGCCCAGAGTGAACCTCTCCTCAGGTAATGGAGGATTCCGTGAGCTCTGCCACCACGCTGACCACGCCTCAGGAGCAGGTTGACAGCCTCATTGTGCAGATTGCTGAGGAAAATGGCCTGGAGGTCTTAGACCAGCTCAGCCAGCTTCCAGAGGGAGCCTCTGCGGTGGGCGAGAGCTCCGTGCGCAGCCAGGAGGACCAGCTGTCTCGGAGGTGGGTCCTGCCTGAGGGAATGCCATAATCCTGCCTCTAGTGTCCTGTCTGGAGTGCACGTTGGGACCATGAGACTGGCCCTTCCTCAGAATGCCACAACACATGGCTGTTTCTGGCATCTTTTCGCCATTACTCCAGGACAACTTTGAAACCTGAGTCTTAAGTGGCCTCATGTCTAGCGCTGGCACACGGCATTGCTGGTCCCCTCTGCCTCTCTTACCAGAATCTCTTTTGCTGATTTCCAGGCTGGCTGCCCTGCGGAACTAGCACGCCCGTGGCAAGTGCTGCCTCCTTGCCCTGTGATGTCCTGGAGGCCTCTGCCCTACTCTGCGCTCAACTTTCTCCACCCCTTCATAGCTGCCTTGGCTCTTTTCCAACCTGTCCGGCTGGCGCCTTAGAACTGAGCCTTAGGTCGGGCAGCGGGTCTCTGTCCTGGCATTGGATTTGCACAAGAGTGTGGGTGACTTCTGTGACTGGGCCACAGCTGGGAGATGGCAAGCTCGCTTTTGTCCTCTGCCTATGTGGAGTTGACAGGGTTTGGCGAGCAGATGTGTGTGGACTTCAGCTCAGTGTTTTGGGGCCTTCAGATTCCAGTGACTGCACACTTGCTATTGGCTGTGCCCAGTGAGGGCCAGAGCCACTCCTCCTTTGCCAGGCAGCTCTTGGGAGTCTCTCCCCCACCTCTGCAGACAGGGAATTCTATTGTGTGACAGCCCTGAGTAGGTTCCTGTGAACACTCATGCGCCGAGGTGTCCAGTGCCACCAACACTGACCTGGGGCCTTTATAAATGGTTGCTCTCCTCCATCCTCCCAGGGCTGAGGTCTTGGCTACCACTGCCGACTGGCTGAGCCTGCTTGGGCTTTCTGTCCCTCAGCTCCCATCCCCAGCCCACAGGAACAGAGCCACCATGCAGTTTCAAGTCCAGGTCCCTCCCAAGAGATCCATGAACCTTACTCGGCAGCTGTCTCTGGAAGAACTTGGACCGCTCGGGTTGAGCTCTCTCCCTGCTGCTGACAGGCATCCAGTGTCACAGCCCCCCGGCCTTGTTAGAGCTTCTCTCTCTTGAAGGGAAGGTCCCCTGGCTCTCCTGTCATCTTAGGAAAGGCTGCTGCTTTCTGCCTTCTCAAGGGAAAGCACCTAGTGAGGTTGACTGGGGTGGCCTGGCTGTGTGTACAGGCTGCTGTTCTGTTTTTCTGTCTCCTGAAGTTTACTCGTGTTCTTAAAACTCCTGGTGATTTTGTTCTTTTGCCAAAGTAGAGAGCACACGGCAGGTGGTGTGTCCTGGCCCTCTCTGCAGGCTGAGCAGCGCAGAGCTGCCCGCAGGTTTACAAGCAAACCTGAAGAGGGCCTGGGCTTGCTGGGTGGTCTCTTCTGCGCTGTGGAGCCCTGGTGCCCACATTACAAGTTAGGTTGCGGGTGGGGACCAAGGTACAGTCTAGCCATGGGTCCCTCAAGGCTTCCGCAGTCAATCCGCCTGTTAGGTGGTGGAAGTAGCTGCCGTTGCCGGACAGCCTGAGCTCCCTGGTTCTGGAAGGGGAATTTGTGAACACTGGTGGATTGGGGTTTGTGCTGGGTTCATCAGAATGGGCGCATCTGACTTTAAAGTGCTGTCATAAGTCAATAAATTGATTGTTGGAGAATTTCTGGGTAAGTCTGCTGAACTATGGGCTAGACCCCATCTCAGCATGAAGTCAATAATGCGGAGGGGCCTGTATCTCTGGAGGCCTGCTTTTGGGGAAAAGGGAAGCTTGGTTGAAGATTTTCAGGCTGTACATAGTGGTGGAATTACAGTCAGGTTTTTGATTTATTGCTATAAAGATTATTTCCAATTTGAACTGCTTCTTTTTGAGTTCTGGGCCCCTCAACCTGCCCTCTGGTCTCAGCACATCCTACTTCCCGGCTTCCCCTGCACTGGAAGGTACACAGGCTCCTTGTGTCTCTGCCTTGGCACCTGGTCATTCCTGATTCATTTGAGAGGGGAGCAGTGCTTAGAAACTGCCTGAGGGTCAGGGGACTCCTTCAGCAAAGCATTTGCTGTACAAGCATGAAGACATGAGTTTGAATCCCCGGAAGTCTTTAAAAAGCTGAACATGGAGCCAGGCCTGTCCCAAGCCTGTAATCCCAGCACCCAGGGAGGCAGAAGCAGGCAGAGTTCAATTCAAGGCCAGCCTGCTCTACAAAGTAAATCCCAAGACAGCCAAGGCTATACAGAGAAACCCTGTCTTAAAAATCCAAAAAAGATTTAGATTCTTAAAAAATACATATATTTAAAAAAATGTTGAAGCTGGGCATAATGGCACATGCCTTTAATCCTACCACTTGGGAGGCAGAGGCAGGTTGATGTCTGTGAGTTCAATACCAGCCTAGTCAGCGTGGGCTACAGAGAGAAACCCTATCTCGAAAAAATAAAAAAAGGTTGAGTGATTGAGAAAGACAGCTGTCAACCTCTGAACTGTAATGCACATACATGCACACCAAACAAGTTGACCACATGTCACACCTCACACTTCTAAAGAGTAGCTTGCAAAACACATGACTGTAACCCCAATAACACTAGGACAGTATAGCAAACTACTAAAAGGGTCAGCCTAGCCGTCTTCCTTGTACCTTCTGTTTTGTTTTGGTGATTCTTTTTTAGCTTTTTTTTTAAAAAATTTTATTCATTACACTTTATTATACAAAGCTACACTTTGTATCCCTCGTGTAGCTCCCTCCCTCTTCCCCTCCCAATCCCACCCTTCCTCCTCTTTCTCCACTCATGCCCCTCCCCAAGTCCACTGATAGGGGAGATCTTCCTTCTGATCCTAGTCTATCAGGTCTCTTTAGTAGTGGCTGCCTTGTCTTCCTCTATGGCCTGGTAAGGCTGCTCCCCCCTCAGGAGGAGGTGATCAAAGAGCTGGCCAATCAGTTCATGTCAGAGACAGTCCCTGTTCCCATTACTATGGGATTGTTTTGGTATTTTTGAGACGGTTTCTCTGTGTAGCCCTGGCAGTGCTGGAACTCACTCTGTAGACCAGGCTGGTCTGGAACTCAGAGATTCACCTGCCTCCTTGCTGGGATTGAAAGATAGGTGCCACCGCCCAGATTGATTTTTTTTTTTTTTTGAAACAGGGTCTCAGTATGTAGACCTCTGGCTGTCCTGGAACTCATAGTGAGTTGAACTTAAACTCAAAGAGATCTGCCTGCTGGCATTAGAAACTTTCTCTTTTTGAGACAAGGCATACAGGTATAAGCCACCATTTCCTGTTGCTTTTTTTCTTTTTTAAAGACCTCAGGGCTGGAGAGTTGGCTTGGAAGTTAGGAGCACCAGCTGCTCTTCCAGAAGACCCGGGTTCAAGTCCCAGTGCCCACATGGCAGCTCACACCCATCGTGACTCCAGTTCTAGGGCATCTGACACACTCTTCTGACCTTGTGGGCACCAGGCACACCCAAGGTGCACAGACATACATTCGGGCAAAACACCCATCCACAAAACTTCATCTAAAGAGTTTTATTGTTTTTACGAGGAAATGTCACCATGTAGCCCAGGGTGGCCTCGAATTTAAGTCCTCCTGCTCCGGCTGCTCCTTCCTGGTTATTTGCTCCACTGGACTCTGGCCTCCCTTCCTTCCTTTTATACCCAGTTAGTTTCAGACTTATTCACTGGGGGGTTGGATAGGTTAGCTCAGTGGTAGAACACTTGCCTCTCAAGTTCAAGGCCCTGGGTTTGGTCCTTAACTTCAGGGGAAGGGTTGGAACAAACTTACTGTATCCAGTGACTAAACTTGTGTGTGTGTATGTGTGTATACTGTTCAAGGTGGATGTCTGACTCTGGTAGGTACTTTGCCTTATAAGAGGCTCCCCAATTTACCTGGGTTTGGGGTGTGTGTGTGAAATAACCTGGCCTACAGTCAGGATGTGCCTCACTTAGAACCCTGCTGCTTGCCTCATGCAGCCCAGTGGCCTCCCATATGGTCCCAATCACTCCAAGCACCGCCTCACTCTGTGTTAGATAGAGGAATACCCAGATAATGTCCCCAAACACCAACACACAACCCGCATCCACGGGTGGGCTCCAGCTTCGCCCCCACCTCTGAAACCTGTTCTGGAATCCTTGACCTCAGGTGCTCTGGCAACACCCGGGTGTTTTAGAAGATGGAAACTTAGGGCATGAAGATGGTCAGTGGGTAAAAGCTTCGAATCCTGCTGGCCTGAGTTTGTTTTGATGGAACCCATGGTGGAAGGAGAGAACCAACTCTCAAAATAGTCATCTGGGCCAGGGGGAGGGTGGGTAGGGGGGCACACACCTTTAATCTTGGCACTCGGGAGGCAGAGGCAGGCAGATTGCTGTGAGTTTGAGGCCAGCCTGGTCTACAGAGTGAGTCCAGGACAGCCAGGGTTATATAGAGAAACCCTGTTTCGGGAAAAAAAAAAAAAAAAAAAAGGTCATCTGACCTCCAGTGTTTGTGCCCACACAAGTACAAGTTTTTTGTTTGTTTGCTTGTTTTGAGACAGGGTCTCTCTCTACGTAGCCCTAGCGGTCTGACCTCAACTCACAGAGATCCACCTGCCTCTGCCTGCAGAGTGCTGGAATAAAAGGCGTGCACCACCACGCCCAACCTCATCATTTTAAAAGAGAGAGATGGTGATGTAAAGTCAGACAATTGGATAAGTAAACAAAACAACTTCAGCACCAGGCCATGCATCACCCCATGGGAGCTTTACCGTGCGTCTAGGAATTCAGTCATCCTCCGTGCATCCTGAGTTGGAGCCACCCTTAGGTACATGAGACCCTGACAACAACAACAACAGATTATTTTAGGCAACTGGAAGTTTTGAGACAGGGTCTTGCGATGCAGCCTGGGCTGATTTCAGTCTTGAAGTCTTCTTGCCTGAGGGCCAGGGTCTAGGTTTGTTTCAGGACCTCTGCCCCTTGACTTCCCTGCTGGCAGAGTGAGGTACAATACACTGGGAATCCACCAGGGGGCCTTTCCCAGTGGGCACAGACAGTGGGCACAGAAACCTTTCCCAAGCATTTCCTGGCATAAATTGATCCTAAGTAGCCGGAGGGTGATCCTCAAGCCATGTAGACTGAGTCAGACTATGCCTGGTGGGCCATGCTGTGACAGACACAGGGACAGGACCAAGGCTTGTTCTGTGCCAACCCACACACTTGGGGGTACTCAGGCCCCTGTCCTTTCATTCCTTGGTGGCACATGCGAACACGGGTAGCAGGGTCACGGGGAGGATTCTAAAAGGCTCCGTTGGCGGCATGCTTGCCTAGAACTCACAAAGTCTGGCATGAACCAAGTGAGGTCTGTACGTGTACCGACAGCACTCGGGAGGTGCTGTGGGAGCATCAGAAGTTCATCAGGATCATCAGAGGTCGAGTAGTGAGTTGGTGGACCACGTGGGATACATGTGAACCTGCCTCAAGAAGTTAACTATTAATATTAAAGCCTGTGGTCAGCACCCATGGGCCGTGGTCATCAGCCGCCCAGTTTTCTTTCGTGGAGGGCAGATCTGAACGGGATACACATATATGGCCATGGGGCTTCTACTCAGACAGCGACATCCTTCACCCCTTGTGGGGTACCTCTCAGAGCAGGCAGGGACAGGCTCTCTTGCCCGTGTCCATGAGGAGTATCTAAGCAGCGTGGACCGGAGAGGAGTGGCAGGCCAGTCAGCAGGACTGCTCCGTGCTGCCCCTCATGAGTTTATCCACCAGACTTAGCCTTGAATGTCCTCAGCGTGAGCCCGAGCACCCTAACAGCCATGCTAGGTAACACACATGAAACCACCTCTGCCCCTGCGAACCTGGAAAGACCTGCTGTTAGCTGTGTGAGATAGGCCTGGAGAGTCCCACCCTCCAAGGCTAGACCAAATTCAGATTTTCTGGGTCTCTTCCCAACACTACGGAACCCAGATAAACATGGGTGTATGCGTGACCCTCGTATGGAATGTGTCGGAGTACATGTGCCCATGTGTGACATATATGTAGGACTTAGGGAGTGTATGTGGGTGGGGGCTGTGTGCACATGAGAACCGGTGTGTGCGGGAAAGGTAACCACTGGAACCTGGACTGTGATTTTTTAAACTAGCCGATGACCTCTGCGTTCCTTGTAGCCCTTCCCTCCACAAACTCAGGCTCTCCCATGGCCCTGTGCACACAGGGCCCCTTCTCACAAAATCTGCTCTCCTGCTGCCCGGAATGTTCCAGGGCTGAGAGACTACAGCAAGCCTACTCAGGACTTAAAGAGCTGTGTTTATTGAAGGCCTGTGCCTTGAGCTGTCCCCAGGTAGGCACACTGCTTGTTCCGGAGAGGGTGTGGTTTTGCATGGGCAGCAGAGCCCTGGGCTTGTCCAGTGTTCCATGAGCTCTGAGCACTCTGAAGGAGGTTCTGGTCCTTAGGATGTCACAGGAGATGCAGACTGAAGAGCAGGGGAGCCAGGGAGGCCAACAGGGCCCCTCTCTGGAAGTGGATGCTGGGGGCCTGTGAGTAGCCGTAGCGTGTCCTGCAGGCGCCTTCCAGCTTGGCCAGGGAGATAGGCTCTTCCTCAGGACCTTGCATGCCTTGCATGTCATTGCTTATCTGGAGGCAGACACAAGTTAGGCAGCCTGCTTTGGGGCTAGGGGAAGGGTGGGGAACCCAGATGGCATTCTCTCCTCACCCTTTCCACATCAGAGAAGACCCGAAGCAGGTTGTGAGCTAGTACACCTTCGACCTCGGGCTCCGTCCATTTCCTCCTGAGAAGTTCCGCTATCAGATCTGGGTACTTGGAAACATCCTCCAGCCCCACAGGAAGCCTGTGCCAAGACCGAGAGGACCAGGCTTTGTAGACAGGACACTCTCTGGGCACATGAAGGCCAAAAGAGCAGGCTTGCAGCAAAACACCCTGCACTGGACACACTTTCCCATCAGGACACACAGAGGATCACGTGGTGCAAGTTTTGGTCTCTTTGAAAACTCCCGTATGTTATGTGGATGTGTTTATTCATAGCTGATAACAGCCTCTTGGGGCTCAGAGAAGGGTGTGGTCTTTGCCCGCTGGAGTTAGTGGAGGTCTGAGGACTCTGGAGAGTATAAATACCAGAGCCCAGCGAGAAAGGAAGGGGCTTCCAGGAGACTGACAGAGGAGAAGGAAGGCTGCTTGCTCATCCTGCTGCCTTTGCCCTTTGTTGTGTCTGGACTGCTGGATGTCCTGATGACTGACTGAGGTTGGTATAGCCCCAAAGAACCCAACGATCCTACCCAGCTGGAAGAAGTAAAGAAGTCTTACGTCCCCTTTCCCTTCTAACCTTCTTTCTCTCCTACACAGGATTGGGGGCTGGAAGGGAGGTAGAGACTTAAGGAACCCCAAACAAAGTTGAGTTTAAAAACTAGAGCCCACAGGATCATAACCCCATCATAGAACATCATGCCAGTCTTACTTGGAAACACCGTCATAATCTCCTCCAAGGCCTACAGCCCCAGGGCCCGCCACCTTCTTGATGTAGTCCAGGTGGTCTGTAGGGAGTAGCAGGCATGAGTCCTAAGCAGGGCCCTCTCCCACTTGGCCACTGTGTGGACACACCCACTTACCAGCCACTTGGGACAAGTTGGCATCCTTTGAGCAGGACACAAACTCACTATAGAAGTTAACCATCACCAGACTGCTTGTGTTCTTCTGCTCAGAGAGGGGACGGGGGTGAAAGTTGGAGAGGGCCCCCAGGAGGCAAGGGGCTCCCTTTCATTCCTCAAGTCCTTACCACCATCTGGAGTACATCATCAGGTACGTTCCGCCTGTGTTGACACAGGCTGTAGGCAGAGGAGTGGCTGAATATGACTGGAGCCTTGGATAGCTGCAGAGCAGCCTTCATGGTGGCCACAGACACGTGAGACAAGTCAATCATGACACCCAGGCGGTTCATCTCCTTCAGCACGCGCTGGGGAGGAGGAGGAACGGGATTGGATTTGGGCATGCTTCCCAGATGTTCTGAGCTTGAGGCATGGGAGAAGCAACACTGAGTGTTAACTAAGCCGCTAGTGGCTGGAAGTTGCGGGGTACCCAGGACTCAGCAGCATCCTGAGTGCTCAGGATTCCACCTGACTCTGTCCTGGAAACCAGCACTGCAGAGGCCTGAGGTGTGACACCCTGTGCTGGAAATCCTCCTGTTTTGGGGGAATGTTGTCCTCCCCCCTCACCTTCCCAAAGTCTGACAATCCTTGGCTCTCAGCCTTGTCATCTCCTTTGTCCACCAGCCAGTTGTCGGCCCTGAAGGAAAACACACACGTGTCCCGGGAACAGAGCAGTAGTCTCAGCCCCTGCGCGGCAGCCCGGCTAACAAGGCCTGGCCAGGGGTCCGGGCACGATAGAGGACATGTGGTTTCCTTTTCTGACCACAGCCCAGGGTGTTCATGGGGACCCCTTACCAGGGTGTGTTGCAGTTGTGGGTGAGGGTCAGGTACCGCATGCCCAGATGGTAGAGTGCCCGCAGGACGCCCAGGCTGCTGTCGATCAGGTGGCCGCCTTCCACACCAATCAGACTGGCCACTTTCCCACTCTGGAAAGCCAGTAGGATATCTACGGGGAACAGAGGAGAGTGTTGGCACCAGACATTCCAGGTTCAAAGTCCTACCTCATACTCAAAACCGAGCATGGCAGGAGGACATTAAGGCCTGTGGGACACTACCTGAACTATTGGTGACACACAAGAAGGTCTCGGGATAGAGCTGGCACATTCGGTGTACGACATCCATCTGTTCCAAAATTCTTTTCACAGCGTCTTTGTTTTGGGTGTCACAAGGCAAGTAAGCAGACCAGAACTGGGAGCCAAGAGGAATAGCTGACTGCTCAGATCACCGACGTCTGCTCAGATCACCGACGTCGGAGCCCACCCAGTGTACACTTGGCTCTGCTCTCTTGCCCTCCTGGATTCCTGGGGCCCCTGAGGCATGCTTCGGGGTAAGGCAGGCCATACCTAATCAGTCCCCCGGGGACTAGAGGGGAGACCCCAGGACAGAGCAAATGGGAGACCAGAGGTTGTACCTGGCCCCCCACAAAGCCAGCCTTCAGCTTAGGGATGTTGGTGTGTGTTTTAGTCAGCGTGTTCAAGTCCGCCCTCTGGTCCTGCAGCTGGTTGTTGAACAAATCCAGCAGTTGCCAAGGCAAGTCGTTGTGCCTGGGGGGTGGGGACAAGGGAGGAATCCAAGGTGGATTAGGAAGCCTGCTTGGCCCTGTAGGCTTCCGAACCAGATGGCTTGCAGGCTGCCCTTCTCCAGTTCAAAATCCCACAGCCCAAGACTGACATGCAGGCCCCACAGGCGGAATACCTCTAACCTGAGTGCACCTTCACACAGGTGAAATTCCTGACTGCACTCCAGGCCAAGTGGCCTTCATGCTCCAGCCCCACCACCAGGCAGGAGGAAAGGGCAGGCCCCTGTTCTGCTGCAAAATCTGGGGCAGGGAACCATTGCAGGTGCCGGTTCCGATTCTGACATTTTCAATCCAAAGATTACATTTCCTCCTTGCAGAGAAAGCTGGGGCATGTCAGGGGGTAGCCTGCCCCCCCATATCTACCTCACCCCTACTTCTGGGGAGTGAGGAATTACTCATAGCATTCAGGCTCCTCTTTGTCTCTATTCCCATGGCAAACCCCAGCTCACCTTCATCTGTGACTCCAAAGGACTTTGGTCCTCTGAGTTTTGAGAAGTCCCAAGGGAGCCAGTGCTTTCGTGAAGGAAGGAGAGGGCCAGGAGCTACCACCTGAGCTAGTACAAGGGCCTTTTGTCACCTCTGCCTGTGCTGCCACAGGGCCTGAGTCATCACCAGACTCCAGCAGATGGTCCGGGAGCAGCCAGGGAAGGCTCATTAGCACTCAGGCACAGCAGACCTTTTGCTGCAGATCTGCACCCTGTTGGTTTTGCTTGTTGAGACTACTGAGGGGGCACGCACCTCCATGCTAAGCTGGGGCCTGTCTCCCTCCCCTAGCTCTACCTTTGTCCCCACTGTCCACTTTCCATCTCCTGTCCCAGTTCCTTTCGGCTACCACCTACGTTTCCTCATCTGTAACGCAGAGTATCTTGGCATCTTCCCCAAGAGTGTGCATTATTAAGGTAAATAAGTAACTGTCAGTGTAGTCATTAGATCTGTCCAGAGAAATGCACTGTTAGGCAATTTTAAACGTGCGGGAGTATCTACAAATCAGGACAGCTACGCCTCGCTAGGCGATCTCATAGGGTCCCATCGAGGCACACAGGCACTGTCCTGCATCCAGCTGTCGCTAAGAAACACACTTTTTTTTTTTTTAGGGGTTGGTGTTTTTTGAGATGGGGTCTCACTATACAGCCCTGGATGGCCTGAAACTCTCCATGTAGCCCAGGCTGCCCTAAAATTTGCTGTGATCTTCCAGTCTCTGCCTTTTACATGCTGAGATTACAGGCTTATGCCACCATACCTAGTCTGTTTGTGGTTTTATTATTATTATTTTTTTTAGATTCACTAAATTCTTTATGTGTACTTCATTTTTTGCCTGCATGTATGTGTCTGTGTACCATGTGTGTGCCTTGTGCCCATAGAGGTGAGAAGAGGGTTCTGGAGTCCCTGGAACTGAATTTACAGATAGCTGTAAGCTACTTTGTGGATGTTAAGAATCTAACCCCAAGCTGGGCAGTTGGTGGCACAACCTTTAATCTCAGCACTTGGGAGGCAGGGGCAGGCGGATCTTTAGTTTCCAGGCCAGCCTGGTCTACAGAGTGACACTAGTTCCAGGACAGCCAGGGCCATGCAGAGAAATCTTATCTCAAAAAAATATATAATAAAATAAACGAAGAAGAGCCAAATCCTGGTCCTCTACAAAAGCAACAACTACTCTTAACCACTGAGCTGCCTTCTCTGCAACCTCTTGTGTTTCTGTTTTTTTTTTTTTTTGAGACATGATCTCATTATATGGCCCTGGTGTCCTGGAGCCCACTGTGTAGACCAGGCTGGACTCAGACTCCCAGAGATCCAGCTGCCTCTGCTTCTCAAGTGCCAAGAGTAAGGGCATGTGCCACTATGCCTGGAGCTGTCTGTGTTTAAACAGGGCCTTTCTAGCCCAGACTGGACAGGAGGCTATTATGGAATCAAGGCTGGACTCAAGCCTTCAGTGACCTTTAGCTTCAGCCTCCCAAGTGCTGGGATTACAAGCGAAAGCAGCTACACCCAGAATCGCCGATAACTACCTCAGGTTTGTTATCACCTGCCACCTCTTAGTTCTCCTTCACCCTGACCCTATCCCACTCCCGGTCAATCCGGGAAGCTTTTTTGGAAAGCTCAGGGAGAGTGCCCCTCCCTAGGGCTGGTGCCCAATTATTCCCTCAGCAAAGGAATACATGCTTCAGCCTCTGGCAACATGACGTCACTCCCGGAAGAGGGTCGGGAAGGCACTGAACTGACTGTCATCTTTCTCTCACCCCACCCTTTTCACTTGGCACAGATTGATCATGATATGCTCATTGAGTGGATACATGAATAGGTATGGGCCAGCCAAGGCAGCCTTGCCAGCTATCTGAGGCAGGGCTAGGCAGGATCCAGGAAAGGGACTTTTGTCTGGGGACACTTACAACCCATCCAGGAAGTTCATCCCCATTGTTGGTGCTGAGAAGGGGTGCAATGGGGCCCTAGATGCCTCAGGAGCCCTCTGCCATACTTGGAGCCACTCTGCCCATCTCTTTCCTCATCTCTTTCCACACACCACCGGAAGACAAAATGGGACCACTGGACTCCTGTCTCCTGAGGGAACAGAAATGTCTCTGCTAGGTCAAACTGCAGTTCTAGTTTCTGTGTGCCTCAGGGATCACAGTTGCCCATGGGTGGTCCATCAGAGGCTTTCATAAAAGCCCAGTGGGCAAGTGACTGGCCAGCAGGGGTAGGCAGAAGCAAAAACTACAAGTACAGTGGTGATGCTTTGGCCAACGGGTGGTAAGGAGCTGGCAAGAGGTCTTCAAGTATTCTAGTGATGTTAGAGGGATGGGAAGTTTGGGGATATGTGTGGCACCCGCATACATGCTGTGACCTTCATGAAGAAGCAAGAGAGGCTCTGGGCCACTTGGCCCTAAGTAAGGCATGAGGAGGAGGAGAGCCAGAAGGATGCTCAAGAGGAGCTTCGTAGTGTAAGGCTACCCTCAGCTGAGACCCAGGGAGGGACTTGGATCCCTTCCTCCAACATATGACTAGAGATTTGGGAGACCTCAGAATCCCATAGACCCAACCAAACTCTGAGCTTCAGGAGACAGGAGCTGGGGCTAGAACACTGACACATTTCCTCCACGCCCCCAGGCCCTCTGCATCTGGTCCCCGCAGGCACCTTTCCTCAGTCCCCACAGACACCTCAGAGCTTCAGGACACCTGGGAGCTGGGGCTAGAACACTGGCCCCTTGCCTTCCCTCACCAGGCCCTCCGCATCCGGTCCTCACAGACACCTCAAAAGGTGGCAACACTCACCCGTCGATGACTGGTGTGTTTCTCATGATTTCCAGCGCCCGGTCCCGGAATGAGTCGGAAGCACAGATGGCCAGCAGAGGCCAGAACCACCAGAGGGTCAACATTTGTTTCATAGATAGTTCCAAATGTCCCCAGGGATCTGCTTCCACAGCTGCCTTGGCACCTCTGCCCTGGCCTGTGCACAGAAGAAAGGGGCCGGATGGAGCTGCTGTCAGGGGAAAGGACAGAGGCCTTTGGTCCGGTAATTAAGACTTGGAGTCCTGTTTACAACCTCTCCACCGCCTTTCAGGATAGGGAGGCGACAGAATGTCCCATTCTGCCTGTTTGCAATTCTCCACTGGGCGTTGCTGCATTGACTAGGTAGAGGACTGCAGACCCTGAGAGGGACTCAGAAGGGGCTAGCCCAAGGCAATTTTCTTGTCATCTGGCTTGCTGCCTTCATGCAGACCTGCCCTTTGGGGCCCATTTCACTGTAAGTGCCCAAGTTCTGACAGGCAGGGATTACAGCATCCAACAAGGTGCCTGTTCACCTCCAGACACCGAGGCCTCTCTTTCCTCCTGACCCTGAGAAGAAAGCTCATAGTTAGCTATATTTCCTTGGCAGGTGCCCGGGCCCCTAAGCCTCACGTTCCCTCCCGTTGATAACACCTCAAATGGTTGCTGGGGAGACCCAGTCAGGTAGCAGCTGTCAGTTCACCTCATCAGTGGAGAAGAGCTATATTCGTGTCATCTTCGAAGCTCCCACTCTCTTGGCAGAGAGGCCCTAAGATTCCTGAGAACCAGGACCCTATACAAAACACCACTGTCCATGTGCCTCTCCGTGGCATCTGGGTCATCTTAGGCGTCTGCACATATTCAGCCCCCGACCTGTCACAGACAAGAGGGGCATGGAGACCTCCTGCCCTGTCAGCTGCCAAGGTTCCCTGGGTTGGCCATGGGATCTGTGTCTGCATTTTAAGGCTGTTGGGTAGGGGAGGAGGATGGGAAAGAACTTGTCCCTGTGGGATAGGACAATGCGCGAGGGTATATTATCACCCAGGCTGGACCAGAACCTGCAGCAATCCTGCAGCCTTAGCCTCCCGAGTGCTGAGATTACAGGCATGGCCACCGCACCTTGGTGCTCTCACTACATTTTCAAGTTATGAGTCTTTCCCGACCCACTGAGGTCGGTGCGTTCCTTCTTCTGTTGCTCCTCTCCAGCCCTGTCTCTCCTTGTTTAGCATCTCGCATGTCCTGTGTGCCTTGCAGGATTCTTAGTTCCCAGGGCATGGTGTACAAGGTCCCTTTAGGAACAGGAAAGCCTGGATTCATTGTTCCCTGTTCTTTTCTCTTGTGGTGTTTATTCTGCTTGTTTGCAATTCTCTCTGGGGTAAATCTCCTGAAGCACTGTTGTCAAGTGTGCTCACTGAAAGGGTCTGGCAACCCCTCCCTGCTGCTTCCAGAACCACAGCAATGTCTGAGCTCTGGGCCTTCATAGCTGGGATCAGCTCTGTCTATGCTTCCCCATCTGTTTAGATCTGCCTGGCTATTGGTTATGCGTTTCTTCCCACCTGTGAACTCAAATTCATTCAAATTTGTTGTTATTGAGACAGGGTCTCCTGTCACCAAAACTGGTCTTGAACACTTTTGTTTTGTTGAGACAGGGTTTCTCTGTGCAGCCCTAGCTATCCTGGAATTCACCCTGTAGACCAGGCTGGCTTCAAACTCGGAGATCTGCCTCCCAGCTGGGATGAAAGGCATGCGCACCACTGCCCAGCTCGGCCTTGCATTCTTAGTATCCTACCCCCACGACCCACGTGCTGGGATTATACACCACCACACTTAGCTGGAGTTGTTAAAAACTACTGTGAAAATTCCTCCTGTCATCCCTGTATTGGCTTAAAACCATAAAAGATCTGGGGATTCTCGCTCATTGGTGCAGCCTTTATTTGCCTAGAATGCATAAAGCTAGGGTTCAGCTTCTGGTGCTGAAAACACAAAAACAAAATAGTGCGGCTTAGTAGGCTTCTGGGTGCCTGTACTGTTGGTCAATTCGGAGTGCTATGAGTCGGTCAGATTCCTCAGCCTCACCTTCCTTGAAGTTGAGAAGTCACTGTGCTATCTCCTTTTTTGGTAGGAAAAGTCAACCTTCCTAATGCTGCGACCCCTGAATAGAGTTCCTCATGTTGTGCTGACCCCCCCACCATAAAATTATTCCCATTGCTACTTCATGACATGATGAGCGGGATATCTGATATGTGACCCCAGTGGAAGGGTTGTTTGAGCCACAAAGGGATCTCTGCAACTAGGCGTTATCTTGCTCATCCTTAATTTCTACAATCTTGCACTTGGGAGGCTGAGGCAGGAGGATGGCACATTTGAGCCTAGGCTGCAGAGTAAAAGCTCGTCTTTAGAAACTGTCTTCCTGTTTGTTCTGAATTTCTGACCGCCCCATGTTCTCCTGCTGGGTGCCAGTCTCCTGATGCTGCAGCCTCCCCCCACCCCACCCCCGCCATCTCCTCATCTCCTCCGTCCACCCCAGATGCCCTCTTGTGCCTCTGATGGGGATCCCTGGCTGCCGGCGGGGCAGCTAGGGCTTCCACCTACCATCTGTACTTTAACCGTCCCTCCCTTTTTGGCTTGGCCTCTTGATTAGGGCAAGACCTCATAACACTCTCTGGCAGTGGGTGTGTGGGGACTGCATTTCTGAGCTTTTGCAAGCCTGACTATGTCTAGTCAGCTTTCACACCCGGTCAACAGCTTTGCTTGTTATGCAGTTCTGGGCTGTAAACCATTTCTTCAGAGTCATGGCTCCAAAGTGTCTGTCTCACTTGAGCTGGTGATAGGAACCTCAGGTCAGTAGCTAAGTAAATAATAATAAAATAATATTTCATTATCCCAGATTTTGGAAGAGGGCATGCTTTTTCTTCTCTGGGCAGCATCACCTCTTCAGACAGACAGTTCTGTGCGTCCTCAGTGACATGCTGACTTTGAGTCTTTTTTTTTTTTTTTAAGACAGAGTCTCATGTGTCCTCCAACATATTAGCTGGGTGTGGCCTTGAACTTATGATCTTCCAGCCTCCTACTGCATGGTGTGGTATTACAGATGAGTGCCAACACACCCAGTTATATTTAGCACTGGAAATAGAGTCCTAGAGCTTCGTGCATGCTAGGAAAGGACTTCCCAATTGAGGTGCATGTCTAGCTCCCTGTTTTATGGACATTTTCTTTTTTTTAAATTTTTTTATGTGCATTAGTGTGAAGGTGTCAAATCCCTTGGAATTGGGGGTGGGACAGTTGTGAGCTGCCATGTGGGTGCTGGAAATTGAACCTGGGTCCTTTGGAAGAGCAGTCAGTGCTCTTAACCACTGAGCCATTTCTTCAGCCCCGGACATTTTCATATTATACATAGGTTACGCTTTGTCCCGCTGGCCATCCCAGCCCTCTTTTTCACTTTTCTTGTGGGTGTGTCTGTGTGTAGGTAGGTGTGTGCTTGCATGTACAGGTACACACGAATACGCACATGGAGTAGCCCACAAGGCTAGACCTTTTGTGTTTGGAGTGCAAGAAGTTAGACCCCAGCTTCGTGCAGACTAAGCCCTACTCATTTTGAGGCGGTGCCTTGGCTAGCCTTGAACTTTCAATACCCTACCTAGGCTCACACTCACGTGCTTGTTTCAGCTGGAGGTGTGTGTAGGTGTGTGTGTGTGTGTTTGTCTTTCTGTGTCCTTGAGTGACTTCCCCTCTTTGTCTTCATATTTTATTTCAGAAATTATACATTCAACTTCCCAAGACTGTCTTCTTGTTCTTCCTGCTCTGGTTATGAAAGCCACTGTAGCAACACTGTTTTCTTTTGTTCCCTTTAGTTTCCTGAACGAACTCCAGCCTCTGCTTTCCCGTCTTCTGGACCTTCCGTTTCATTGACATCCTTACAGGACCAGCTGGAAATCCCTGTTGCTCCCCGATTGATGCTTTAGGCTAGAGCAACAGCAAAGTGAGCTGCACTGTGCAGGACTCTCTCTATTTAGGCTTAAACTAACAACAGAGGCCTGCCACAACAGCAGCGCTCTTAAAGTGAGCCAGAAGCGTTGTTGAGAAAGGCTGTCCTGGTTCTGGAAGATTTACACCTCGGAGGTGTCTTTTAATGTTTTCCTCCTGCCTTGACTGGGCTGGAGGTCTCTCTTCTGTAGGTCTCTCTTCTGTATGTCTCTCTCTGCCTCCTCTGTCTCTATTTTAGCCTCTATCTTTCTCTCATCTCTTCCTGGACTTTTCCAAAACTCCACTGTCAACGAACTCCAACTCCAGCCCTCTGCAACATCTCTGCTGGGTTAGGGAGCCTCCCTACAGCCCTTTTTGCCAGTACTCTACAGGGCTCCTTGTCAAACTTGTCACAATGTGACAATGACCCAGCTCCGCTGAGGGGTTGGCTGACAGCCTTGATGTACAGACAGCAGCAGCAGGTCAGAAGCCAGGAGGCTTCTTTAGGTCACCCAGCTCTTTTTCTCTTTACATTCTTGTTTACTTCGTCTCTCTGTGTGTGTGGCTGTGCGTGGGTAAGTGCGTGTTTCAGACACTGCTCTCTGCCTGCCTTGGTGAGCACTTCTGAAGAGATCGGCAGTAACCCTTGCCTCAAGTGTTGCTCTCAGTTGCTGAAGGTTGGCCTTGAACCACATCCCTTCATTGTACATACAGGATGGCGGTACTCATTAGAAGCAAACAAAAACCTGTGTTTACTTACCAAAGGCAGAAGGAACGAAGTAAAAATATCCAAACACTGCTACTCAGTTCCAACTAGAGTCACAGAGAATGCCGTGGAGGGCTGCCTCGGATCAGCAAACCACCTCCCAACTCAGAATCTGTGTGGCATTCAGCAAGGGCACACCAATGGGCCTGGAGTTACCAGGTTCTGACACAGACAGCCAAAGCTTATCACAGACCTTTGTACCAAGCCACTCTGTGACATGGGACCTTAGGAAGCTGCCTCTACGTTTCTCTTGTAATCTGAGACCCAAGTGGGCTGACCTGACCCTGACCCTGCCACAGCCAGCCATGGAGGAGCAGAGACAACTGCACAGCAGCACAGGTTCTCGACCTGTGACCTCACGTCCTCCATAAACACGGGTCACACAGCACATCCAAACAGAGACATCTGAAGCACATACACGTGATCCCCCACATGGATGTGTGTCAATCTGCATGTGACAAGTACACTCCCTCACAAACCGCCCGCAGTAGACCTGTGTGACACACGTATCCATACCTGAATGTTCTCTGTGCAGAGGGGTCCGTGCCAACACAGACCTGCCGGGTCCCCCGCTTGTGCACAGATCATCACAGACAGAAATGCCTAGGCACACCCCAAACAAGCAGGTCCAGCTGTGTAGACGGGCTTCTGAATACATGTGTGTACTTTTCCACACACATTAAGCAAACAGACGTTCGGATGCCTCGACAGATATAGACAGCTACAGGTGTGCCCACATAAGCCCTATCATCTCTCAGGTCACATGCTCTGCATACAGCCCCGTGTGCCCATGTGGATGTGCCAGCCACTGGGTACCACCCGCTCTTTACCCTCTCGGGCGCCTGGAGTGCTGCCTTCAGTTATCTGACTACTTGTGAAGTCTTGAACCTAGGGCCCCCCAGATAAGCTTCCAGGAAGGCTGCATGTGGAGGGGTGAGCTGCGTATCCTCTATCCCGATGCCTTTCCCCCCAGGGACTGTCACTGCGTCACACTGGCTCACTACTGAGCCGGTTCACCTTTCAGCTGCACACCAGGCTGACCCCTCCGTATGGAGCTCCCCCAGACCACTGAACTTTCAGGCCCAGCAGCCGAGCCCTCACCCTGACCTCTGCCCACAGAGCCAGCTCCTCGGGGGTCATGGGATTATCTCAGGCCACCTGTAGAATAGGCTCTTGCTTCCCTGCCCCTCCAGTCCATCCTCAGGGTGGTGCCAGGGTCTTCAGCGTTCCCCTCATCCTCCCACGAGCCCTGCACAGCTCCTGGTTGGCTGCCCCGCAGGTCTGCCTCTCCCAATCATCACCCTAGCTTTGCATGCCCTGGCTGCATCAATCGATCAGTCCAGCTTTTAGCTTTGTCCTCCCTCTCCCGCACACCATACTGGGCATCCAGAAGCAATACATTTGTTCTTCTGCCTGGGGCTAATAAGCTCCCTTCTGTCCAACATCTGAAAGCTCTCCCCTTGGAGACCCTCTCCTGTTGTACCATGTCATTCTCAACATATAGACTATCTGTATGTCCTCCCCTGCTCACATGCTCACAGGATGTTTTCTACCCAGAAATGGAAATGACTTTCTGTACCTCATTATCACTTGGCCTCCACCCAACTCTACTTCCCAGTACCCCAACACTCACCACGGACACACGCAGGTCGGGGGGTACAAATGTGGCTTCAGTCCTGTGACTGAAACCCAGAGAGACTGGCAGCCTGCTCCCGAGCCCTCCAGCTTTGACGGGCCACCTCTTTAAAAGGGAAACTCCCCCGGGGCTCCACAGTGTGCCAAGGAGAGCAGACAGGGATAATGCCTCACACATGTCAGCTGTTCCTTGTCTCCAAAAGACACGCAAGCCCTCAGTAACTCAGAGCATCCGGTGGGGTCTGGGCCTCCAGGTCAAAAGTCTGCAGAATGACAAGTCTTGGGGGCCACAGGCAGTAACCTGAGCCCTCCACCTCAGGAGTCGTAATGTCAAGTTAACCGAGTTGGGAATCCAGAAGAGACGCCTGGGCCGCCATCTCAGAGTATGTGTGCACTCCTGGGTTCCTTCTGCCGAACTCAGTGTCCCGAGGTGGCCTTGGGACTTTGAGCCACATATTTTTCTCCATCTTTTGACCCCCTTATCACTCTCGATGAAGTAAGAATGACCTGTGCTTCCCAGTTGGAACAGCCTGTTTCTTAAGCCAGGAATGAAGCAGTCCTGCTAGGACCAGTCCCAGGAGCCCCTGGAGCCTTTGTTCAATTGAGGAGGTTTGATCCATCCTTACCATAAGGAGAAACAAAAGCAACCTCAGATTGGAATGTTCTCTGGCAGCACGAGGGGCCTTTCGAAACTGTGGGAGGGTCTGGCAACCCATGGTGAGCTGGAGGCCCGGCTGCCCTTGTGGTTTTAAGATTCGGTGGTGGGGTGTGTGGGTGGGAGGGGTGGGGTGTGTGGGTGGGAGGGGTGGGGGTGAGGTGTGAGTGTGTATGTGTGTGTGTGTGTGGTGGGGTGTGTGTGTGTGGGGGGGTGGCAGGGTGTGTGTGGGGTGCGCGTGTGTATGTATGTGGGGGTGTGGGTGGGGGGGTGTGGGTGTGGGTGTGGGTGTGGGTGTAGGCTGGTGAGATGGTTCAGTAGTGGAGAGCACTGGCTGCTCTTGCAGAGGACCTAAGTTCAATTCCCAGCACCCACACAGCGGTTCAGAGCTATTCTTGGTTCCAATACTAAAGGGGGGAAGGTTTCCGTGGTGCCAGAGAGCAGGGCATCCCTGGCGGCCTCTAGAAGATATGAGGAAAGGCCGGGCCAGGGCGAGCTCCACCACTGGGGCACAGTAAGAACACACAGGGGCCCCTGTGCCTACTCTGGTACACCCCCTGGCCTGCCTCTGTAGTGGACTATGAGTTCCTCCTTCCCAGAGCTGTGTGTTTATCCATTGATGCCATAAGACAATCAGGCCCCAGGCTTCAGAAGGGGACAGGCAAGGAGGAGGAGGGTGGGGTTCTCACCTTAGGTGAGGAGTAGGACACAGACCGGGATAAAAGTTCTCCCTCTGGAGCCAATCAGCTCTCCTTTAGCCACCCAGGGCAGGCTAGTAAAGGCCAACTGGAGACCCCATTCTGGGGTACAAGGGTGCACCAGGACCAGGCGGAAGAGGCTGTGAGAGCCCCGCCCTGGAGGAGGAGAAGGCTCAGGATAAGGGCCCAGCAAATGGATCTATCCCTCATTTGGGTAGCTTTGGGGTCCCTGCTAACTCTGATATCCAGGGTCCCCAGATACCTCCTGAACTCCTACTTCATTTAGGGGTTGGCAGGTGCACTCTCTAAGTACCCTACCTATGCCTTGAGGTCCTTCTCCTGGCACAGTGAGGATCTGGGAAGACACACGAACAATGGAGCTAGGAAAGTGTGTGGCCCTTGGCCAGGTTATGGCTGGTGCCCCAGGCAAGCTCACTACCCCCCCGGAAAGAAAACATCTTAGCATGTCCTCAAATCAGGAGCACCTCATTACGCAGCAACAAAGGGCCCAGGAATAGCACTGAGACCCCAGCCCCTCTGGGATGTTGGGTGGAAACAGCAGTGCTCCAGGTCAGAGGTGCAGGGAACCCCAGAGCTGCCGACCTCAGCTTTATCGGATATGAGCAAGTCTGATATACATGTATCATAACGCCCCTGGCTTGTGGTGACTGCCTGGGCGGAGCACAGGTGTGGGGCCTCCACAGACGGGGCAGCTTCCTGCTGTGGACCGGACGGCCTGAAGCCTCTAAGACAGACCTTGCCTCTGTCTCTAGATGTGTGTGCAGTGTACCAGCGCCTGCTAACTGAGCAGCTCCTATATGCCGAGGGAGCCTCTCGGGACAGAACTGCTCCTCTCCACCTTGGAAGCCAAACCTAGAGAAAAGAGGACTCTGTCCTTGACTCCTCCCTTCTTCCTCTGACTCCACCAACTAGGATCCACGTCTTCAGCCTCACCTGGTCTTGGTTCTTCAAGTGGCCAGTTCCTGGGAGTCCCTGTATGAACCTTGCTCCCTGTTCCCTTTCTAGCCTACTGTATCACGACTCTTGATTGTAACAGTAGTCAGTTGTCCACGCCCCTAAGCAGAGGTCTCCTACAGACAGTCTCCAGTGCCCTTCTACACACTTCTCAGTGCTGTGGACAGCGGCCAGTGCGCACCATTGCTTCCTGGGATTTTGGCTTTCTGAAAACAGATTTTGCCCTCACTTCCTGGAGACGTCTCAGCCCTTTGGGTCCTCCACTTTACATTTGCTGGGCTTCCTTGGTAAAACTGTCACTGTCCTGCCAGTCTTCAGCCTGACCATTCTCCTAGCTGCCCTTGGGCACCACTTTGATTACTAGCCTCAGGTGATACCGTCACCCTCAGAGGTCCCTGGGATTCAGGCTCTAGGTGGCTGAAGCTTCAGGGTAAGCCGCTCAGGACCTGGACTCGTCCGGTAGGACCTGACACTCAGGACCTTCACAGTGTGGAGTCTGAGAACTCTGCGGTGTTCCCTGGGGGCTCTGCCCTAGCTCTTGACTTTGAGCTTCCCTAGCCATGTTTCCCCAGGCTTCTGTGAACCTGCCTCCCCCTTCCCCAATCCACAGGGGCACAGTAGTGCCTCAGGTTAGCCTAGTGTCTCCACTGGCTGACTAGAATCCTCTGCAGGGAAGCTCTGCCATAGCCGCTCCCGGAGACTGTGTTCCCAGACCTACCTCCCCTGTTGGCTGCTAACCCTGACAGATGGACTGCAGCCCCTGGCTGTCTGGATGGCTTTGCCTGTAACAGAGCCTAGCCCCTGCTCCCATACCCAGCTGGGTCTTGAACACCTCTGCCTGAAGATACAGTGCATTTTCAGCTCAGCGCCCCACCCCCATCTTGTACCATCATGGTTGTCCCTCTTCCAGCAAGCTCCAGGGTCTCCTTACCATGGGATGGTTCCTGTAGCCAGTCTCTGTTACTTTGTGGGCTCTTCTTTTTCCCACTCTTTATCCTCCCAGTTTCACCCCCTAACACTAGATAGGAGAGAAACAAGAAAAGAAGGGGGAGAGGAATTAGGGAAAATCCCTGAATCTAATTTCTTTCCTTTTGTTTCTTCTTTGGCCATGGCTGCCAACAAACTGCAACCAACCCCCAACAACCACCACGGAGCACACCTATGCGGCACTGGCATTTATAAACCCTCTGAAGAGCGCTCAGATTTCCAAATATCACACAGTCGCAGAAACTATCTGCAGCTGGAATAGACCATGCTTCAGCTAGAGCACGAGGCAAATTATAGTCAGCTGCCGTGAGCAGTCCGAAGCAGCCACAGATGCCTACACCTGGGATTAAAACAAACTCACATAAGCCAAATGCAGTGGTGCACGCCTGTAATCCCAGCACTCTGGGAGGCACAAGGCAGGTGGATCTCTGTGAGTTCAAGGCCAGCCTGGTCTATAAAGTGAGTCCAGGACAGCCAGGGCTCCACAGAGAAACCCTGTCTCGGAAAAACAAAACAAAAGCACATTCTTATACTATTTCTCTCTCTCTTTCTCTCTCTCCCTCTCTCTCTCTTTTTAAAGAAACCAAAATCTGAGAATTCTCAAAAATGTCATTACAGTGGTTTTTTTGTTTTGTTTTATTTGCAGGGGGTTGTTTTTATTTGTTTGTTTTTTCAAGACAGGGTTTCTCTGTGTAGCCCCAGCTGTAGCTTGCTTGTGGTAGAGACAAGTCTTAGTAACAAATCTGTGTCTACTGCCCACACCCCCTGTCGGGTCTGCTTCTCCAGGGACCCTGTCTTCTCCACGCATCCTTCAGTAAACCTGCAGAAGTGCCTGCTCTCATGTCTGATCCCTGCATGCCCTACTGGTACCTGGCCAGCCTCTCTCTGTGTTCTCAATACAGTGGGTTTCTCTGTGTAACCCTGGCTGTCCTGGAACTCACTCTGTAGACCAAGCTGGCCTCGAACTCAGAGATCCGCCTGCTCTGCCTCCCGAGCGCTGGGATCAAGGGTGTGTGCCACCACCCACTCTGGCTGGTACAGCATCTTTTAGCCTGGCTTAAAGTCCTCTTAGAGCCCTTAGAAGTCCCAACCCTACAGGGAAGACCCCCCTCCTGACATACGACCTTCATCCCCTCTCTGCTCCACCCTATTTATCTGGTCCATTCTAACTCTCCAGGCATGTTCAAAGGCCACAGGACATTTGCATGTACCTGAATCTTGTGTTCAGAAGCACCCCCACTTTGGCAGCTCCCCCTTGTGGCCAGCCTCCCTGAGCACTGTCCCCCGCATCCTAGGCCTCCGAAGAGTCTAGCAGCTGCAGATTGCTGGGTCTTGCTCATTATTTGCCCCTGCCCCTAGGGAGAAGCCCATGACCCCAGAGGTCTGATTTGTTCATTCTGGTGTGTTCCTGCCAAGAGTGAATCATGAAGGGTCAAAGGGTGAAACGCAGACTCAGTCTTTCCACTGCCTGCTCAGCCTTCCTGGCTTCATCTTTGCCTCCCTCACTCAGCATTTGCCTAGGGTCCACAGTCATGCCCAGAACAGCTGGTGGGAGGGGAGAGGAGTGATTTATCCCCAGGCTGCCCTCCAGGGTGGGGCTCCCTGCTATTCCTCGTGGGCACTTCTGGTCATCGGCTCAGCCTCTGGACCCAGTTCGGGTGAGGTCCTACAGGTGCTTCCCACCACTTTGAGGTTCCCGGGGAGTTTGAAGTAGCCCACACACCTTGCCAGGACCCTGGGTAAGTCCTATTAGTTATTCTGAGACAGATCATTAAAGAGCCATTGTGGTAAATTCCTGAGCTTCCTCCCTGGATGGGGCGGGTCCAGCGCCCATCTGCCGACATATCTTTGCTGCTTCATCAGCAAATCTCTTGATAATTCCTTGGTCATGACCCACAGTCCGTGCCAGAAAACAAAGTCAGGGTCAGGGCGGAGAACAGGACAGAGGAGGGGCTCCTGTGTGGCCTGTGAAGGCCTGACTGTGAAATGGGGAGGGAAGTTTAGGTTAAAGGAGATGAGGCTTCCCCTAACCCCTCCGGTTTTAACATCCTGTCTGAGAGCCTGAGGCTGTGAACGCTCAGGAGCAAGGCCAGGCTCTCAGACCAGTCTCCGGAAAGTGCCCTGCAAAGCTTTTCTCAGTCTTGAACTCTAGACCAGGAGACAAGCCCAGCCACGAAGCTGCTGTCTCGGCACCCACTCCTGCGAGTGCAAACACCCACCAGGCTGCTGCCGCTGCCCTCTGCTGGCTCTGCTCCTCCCGGCGCTCCCTGAGGGTCTGTCTGATCAGGGTCTTGGGGGATAATGACAGGTCACCTAGGAAAGCTACTCCTCATTGACCACTGTAGGCTCGGTTTGCAGACTCTGAGGACCTGGCAGGTCTGCCAAGTGCTTGGCGCCATCATTGCTTTCCTTTCCCTGGCCCTCTCCCTTGGAGGCCCCGCTTCCTAAATCACAACCTTTCTCCCTGGGAGCAAACCCTGCTGTTATCCCTCTTGCCTAACTCTGTAAACCAAGGAATGAAACCACAAAGCAGTAGGAGTAGGGGTCATGATTCATGCTCTGGCACAGTCTGACATGGGCTTTAAACTCTCACTGGGCCCTGCGGCTGATCTCCTGACCTTGAAACTCTCAGGACTGTGCGAGGTAGAAAGGGGATGCTGATGCCTAACACCTCCTTTTCACGTGGCTCAAAGCAAGCGGAAAGGCCAAAGGCCGCCTGTTAGAGGGGCCGTTGCTCGCTTCTGCTTCTCTGCAGGTACTATGGTCAGCATTCATCTGTAATGCTCTCCTGCTCTCGGGGAACTCCCACTGCCATTCCTTCGTCCAGGGCTGACCCCAACCTAGGGCTCCATCAAAAGTCCCTCAGTGAAAGCTGCTTCCTTTGCGACAGGAGAGAGCATAAGAAGGCAGAATTTAAATATTAGGGAAATGACCTGGGGCCTTTTGCCTAGGAGGCCAAGCACAGGTATCTAACACCAATGGGCAGCAGCTCACCCCATCTCAGGGGGCAGCTCACCCCATCTCAGGGGGGCAGTTCACCCCATCTCAGG